CCCCCCCCCCCCCCCCCCAAGCATCATACAAGAGATAAGGCTAAAAATCATGCACCTTTTTCTTTCTCTGCTTAGAATATGATGGCTGATCTGTGTAACTCTTGTCTTGCAGATCACTATATCAAGACACATATGAAAATAAGATATTGGGATGAGCAGACAGGAAAAAAAACAAAACTAAAAGGGAGGTAGAAGTAGTTTTTTAGTGAGGCAAAAAAAGTGTGAGAAGCAAACAGAAGAAGAATACACTCTTTACCTCTTGTCTACACTAGTCCTTTTTTTCTTAGAGGCCCTTACAATTAAATTCTGCTCATCATCTTCAAACTCAGGCTCTACTACTTGCTCCTGTAATAAAGGAGGCACCAAGTTGATAAAGTATACCTCAGAAAAATGTAATGTGTGATATTATGATCATTAGGAAACCATCTTCACACTCATAACAGGTAGATTAACTTTCAGATCAAAAGCCGGATAAAAATTGGATGGATGCTTAACTTCTTCCACAATAGTTTTGACTCAATCTAAGAGCTTAGCAATGTCAAGATGTTGATTAAAGTCTCTTCTAAACATTAAAATATCTGGCAAATGTTTTAACTAAATGTGAAAGTGAACTTATGGAAGTGGGAAAATGGACGATTTTTTGGTTTGTGTTTTGAGTCTACCAAGGTTTTAAGAAATAGAGTTGTACTTAGCATTAAGATATACCCAGAGGTAAATGAGAAATAAAAATTTACCTTGGACAATTCTGTGTGAGGATTATCAAGCTCTCCAAAGCTGACGGAAGATAGATACTCGTAAAGCATATTCGACACATCTACAATCTGCAAATGAGAGAAAGAGAGCAAACGTTAAAAGATAGCTTACTTATTTTAGGCACGGATAATACGTCACTTAAAATCTTGATTAGTGAAGGTCAACCAGAAAGAAATCTTCCGCAGATTGACAGTTGGAAGTAAAATCGCCATTTAACGCACGAAATAGAGAAGAAATGAAATTATGCCGAACCACTCAAAGTCATATCACTAGACAAGGACTGAACATATGATAGGATGAGGAACAATATCTTAAACATGATCATGTAAGACCTTCATAAAATTATCTTTTCAGTGTCGGTATAAATGATTTTTCCGCAGATTTGAGCGCAACTGAGACAATCTGCATTTTCATAAGTGAGATGATTTCAATCAAATCAGAAAATCCATGATTACCTCTATCCACTCGGCGCAGAACTCGGAATAAGGAGGTCGGTAGAGCTTAACCCGCCCTTCTGCCGTGCAAACAGCAAGTAAGCACCTGAGTAGAGTTTTTATACACCAAACTTTGTTTGTTTGATCACCAACTCAAAGTAAGAAACTGAGACAAAAAGAACACATTGGTGTGAAATATGTTGAGCATATTACCCATAGTTCGAAGACATTCCTAAGTCAGACCATGAGAGAGATCGAACACAGGGCTGTCTATCCCGCTTCAAACACGAAGGTAAGAGCCCACCAGTCAGCAAATCTGCAAACACCAACATTTGGAAGAATTTGATCTTTGATCTTTCAGGCTCAAAGAAACAGAAAATAATCTTCGTTACAAGCAGTCCAGTTATCACAAACCGAAACAGGATACAGATTTCAATCTGAAAATCACCGAACACACCTTTATTAAGAAGAATTTTCATAACCAGAAACAGATTCTGGAAATTTGGCATGAAAAAAAAAATCAATAACCACATCTTAACTAAGAAGAATTTTCCGAATACAAAAGCAAGATGTTGAAATTTGATCTGAAAACCAGCATGAACAATCCCATAAAGAATAATTTCACAAGATGAAGGCAGGATTTGCAGATTTGAGCTGAAAATCTGCAAAGACATCTTCATTTAGATGTGCAAAAAAAAAAAAAACAGAAACAGCTTAACATAACGGCTACTGTTTGGAATGTGAAACAGGAACAAATTTGAAAAGAACGAACAAAAGACCTTCTCGTCGAACCACTCCTATCTGATAAGGCTCGGCATTAGGAATCGTGATCAAGCCACGGGGACCAGAGGGCAATGCCGGATTCTGACAAACCAAACAACACAAAAGAGAGAGAGAAAAGTCAGCCTCGCATCAGAGATTCGGATTCAACTCAAACCAAGTTCAGAAATCGACCAGACACTCACAAGGATGATGACGAAGTGGCCGGCGGCGACGGCGATGAGATTCTCCGGGGACCAAGCGACGGCGTCGGGGTAGGACGGAGCTGTAACAAGCGGCGCGTCCTGGAACCGGGAAGCCATCGTTTTTATTTTCCGGCCGTGAACGACAGAGGATGAAACTTCAGTGAATCAACCAATCATCGAATTCCGGCTGAATCTGGTCTTGATCCGAGAAAAGGCTGAGACTTCCAGTTGGATAATCAACCGAATTATGGAGGGAAAACTTGGTTTGTGGTTTGTTGCCGTTAATTTTCTCTCGGGGCTGCGGATTTCACTCTCAGTGCGGAAACCCTAGTTCGAATCGCTTCGGAGCAGATACATCTTTTATTTTTTTTTCTTTTCTCTTGAGTCAACGGTGCGTTTTTTCCCAAACCGGTTGCCTTTTTTATATGCCAATCAGACAAAAATTAAAAGGAAAGAGGATTTAATTACATTTAGATTAATAAAATAACTAAAATCAATAATTCTTGTTAATATATAAGCAAAAGTTAGTTTTGTAAAATACAGCTATTTTGAGAAAAAAATATTTTGGTTTATTTAAATTATAAATTTGTAAGTTTTAATTTATTTAAATGAAAATACAAAAGATATACATCGACATTTTAAAATGTGTCAGAAAAAAATGTAGTAAGTTTTAATTTAACTAAAACAATTCACCAACTTTTCAAAAATGCACGAACTAACTACCAAAGTCATCACCAATTTTAGCTGTCTAAAGATTCCGTCACCAGAAATCTGACGTGGCACGCGTTAGTCTGAATGCGCCGCCGCATTATCATCACGTCACTCATAAGGTTCGTTTCCTTCAGCCGTGGCACTCGACCGCTGTCTGGTCGGCCGGGGACTTGGTTACAGTCGACGGTCTGGTGAGTGAGACCGTGGACGAGTATCGATCCATAACCATAACCTCAGGGCTCGAGCTTTTCCGACGATGGAACCCTCCACTCGCTCATTTCATCGCAAAACTTGTAATATATATATATATCAAAGTTCTTGATTCCTATCCACGAACAGTAAGAAACCAGCAGCAACTCACGAGGGGTTATCTTGAGCTGGTGCTGCATTTGGATCTCGTGTCGATGTCGATGTTGAAGGCTCGGAAACTCGAGCTTGGCGTACGAATTGCCCTTTCACCCGAGGCCGCTGCTCTGCCAGCTTTTTCCGGCTCTCATATCTCACCTGCATACCGTTCGAGTAAACACATTTTCTTGTTTACCCCTACAAGTTCTGCATATAGATTCCAAGATCTCAGAGTTTGTACCTTTTTCTCGAAGCATCTATCTTTTCGTTTCATCCGGAATTTAGTAAGAGCGGCTTCCCGTTGATGAGAACGTCGAGTAGTTCCCCCGTCTGGTGTTGGGAATCCGTCTCTGCTCTTCTTATCCAGCTGCTGATCAGCATTGCTGGTACTCCCGGAAGAGACGTATCTTCTCTCTTCCCCAGAATCCAGCCTCTCTGCCACTGGGTTTGACATCATCGAGGAGTGGTTAACATAACCGTCTCTCGCTTGCGAACATTCGGGTATACCGTTTTCCAGGTTAGACCGAGGAAGTGAGTGAAATCGGGAACTATACTCCTGTGGGCTAACAGAGCAACCAGGGCTCGGAGTTGGCGAAGGGTTTGATTGAGCGATGAGAACGGGCACCAAGGCAGATGTGTAACCTGAGCTTTGACTGCCGAACCATATACCCTTTACAGGAATCGGAGCACGGAGCCACGGGTTTGTCCCGACGCGCGGCGGCGGTGGCGGCGGTTCTGGTGCATTTGCTCTGGCACAAAAGGTGGTCTGGTAGTTTCTCAGGCCACTTGGAGTCGGTTCGGATGATTTTGAACGGTCGAAAGTTGCGGTCTCGGATGGACTTTTACCGTCTTGATTTTCCACCGCACATTGGCTTTGATTCGGAAACGCTGGAGAGATTGGACTATGCATCTGCAATGACCTGTGAACATACCTGAAACAGAAAACGACACCGAATCAAGCAGAAATCCCTAAGAATCGCGGACAAAGAGACCTGAACCGAGCCGAGATGTATAACCGTGTGAAAGCCGAGGCACTAGATGGCCAGAGACTGGGCTGTTCAGCGGAAGACGCATTCTCGGACGCATTGGATCTTCTCAAAGAGAGATCAAGCTCTAGCCGAGAACTTCTTTCTCCGTTACATTCGCCGTTTCTTCTAAAAGGTACTTCCATGAAGTCCGAGGCTGCTTTACACGAGTCGCTCTTATCACCGGCTTTGTTCTCGACACCCCGAGTGCCTGCCATCACCGATGACACAACATTACCGACAAATTTGACAGAAACTCTCAAAATCCGAACGTTTATAAAAAAACTTGGTTACCATCGTGTGCCTCATTCTCCGGAACTTGCGTATCGTTGAGCAGAGACTTGCCAATCTTCTTCTGCAACAAGTCTCTCGGGTTTTTATCCACATCAGGACTCTCGTCTTCAAGATCCGGCCTTGTACATGAGCTCTTCAAGGAGAAAAAAGAACGTAAATTTAAAGCCACCGAGGAATAACGTTTCGAAAATAAGATCAAACAGAAGCGACAGAGTGAAATTATCTTTCAGGTCGGAAGCTACAGATATATTCAGACAAACCTGGGCATCGCTTCTTTTACCGGTTATTGGCCGCTCATCTCTCGCAATGGCGTTTCCATTGTTACTTGTGGAATTGTTTTCAGGCGTGGCCTCTACCTTCCGCTGTCCGACACTCTCGTCCGGTTGCAAGTCCCCGCCAGCAAATGACTAGCAAAGACATTCAAGAACAGAACTCAAACTCAAGAACGGATTGTAACAGGTCTGCCTAATGGCAAAGTACTCGAATTTAGTATAATGCCCGAGATTTCTCAGACATTATTGTTATGTAAGGAAGAAAACGGTACACACGCGTTGTCTTCTCCAGACATGTTGCCACAGATTTCTGAGCTCGTTCCTCCTCAACGGCTTGACAAGATAATCGACTGCCCCTCTCAACATGCACTTATACACGGTACTGACCGAGTTCTGCGTCGACATCACTGCAAAACCAAATCAAAGAACAAAAGAATGTGATTTCAAATTATTTTCGAAAAACGATACGGAAACGTATTAGTTAGGTGGTAATAAAATTGTGTCTAGTGGTCCGTACTTATGACAGGAATGTTCTTGCAGGTCTCGTGTTCCATGATGAGCGTTAGAAGAGCGTATCCGGATATCGAGGGCAGATCCACCTCGGTTAATATCAGATCTACACTTTCTGGCCTTCCTCTCAGCATCTCCCATGCCTTCAAGCCATCGGAAACGGAAGCAACTGAGGTGATACAATAACCGAAAAATCTTCTTTTTACGTCGGCTCGGAATGGAATGAGTCAATGTGAATTCAGTATCAGAAAGTAAAGTTATTCAAAGAAACACAGTAATTATATAGATAAACATATAGTAAATCCGGAGACAGATGGGGAAATGAGCTTCTAGTGAAATATCGATGGCATGATGAACAATTGATGAGTGAATTTACGCGTAGAAACCTGTAAGAGATATTTGGATGGACAGTAATGGCGGAAACTCAAGACGGATAATTTCAGGAACAACATGTGTTCATGTCATAGACAAGAACTAAGGCTTATTGTTCATGAAGAGGTTACAAACGCATGGGGTTAAGATGCATCACAATACCGAATTCACTAAAATGAAACCAAATGCAGAATGAGATTAGCCGTTTATGGATTCAGAAAACAATCAACCAATATCTTGTTACCCAAACTTTGCTTGAAAAACGCACACTTGTGGAATCTTTATTACAAATTTCGATCAGACGAAACTAAGGGGGGTATCTGTCATGGAAAGACATAACTTCCTCATTAAACTTCCAATGCATTTGCTGAAATTAGATGGCATCAGGTCATTGGCAGCTTAATTCAGTTCCCGCAGACATTTCACTTTCAGATTATCCGACAACTTAACGAAATTAATCCCCCCAAGTTCTTGGCTGTTCATACTCGTAGACCCAAACCCAGATCAAGAATTCCAAAAGTGGACCCAGAAACAATAAAGGAACAGAGAATTTCGACATTGCAACCAAACCCACCAAGGAGAATCCGATTCCGACAACGATTGACATCAGAACTAGAACTGACCTCTGTAACCGCATTTCCTGAGAAGAGCTGCGACTATCTGTCTGGTCGAATCGTCGGCTTCCGCTAGCAGAACCCTTAAGGCAATCTTCGGCAGAAACCTCTCCCACTTCACCAGACCGTCACCATCGTCGCCCTCTCCGGCGTCCTTCCGCCGCCTCCGCCGCCGCTGCAGCTTATCTTCGCCGCCCTCCGCTGCCGTCTCCTTAACCTCCACCACCTCCTCGCTGCTCACCGTCACTTCTCCCATCTCCCAACAGTCGTCTCGCGAAATCGAAGCCCCGGGGGAGAGAGAGAAAAAAGAATATAACAAAAGCAGAAAACGGAGAGGAAATGTTGCAAGAAAATCTCCCTGTATCTCTCATCCACCAGAGGCAAAAATAAAAGGACAGAGTCATTAGAGAGTTAATCGTGATTAACGTTTGGTAAGTGTGTTTAGTGTTTGTAAGGACCCATGGGTCTTCTCCATATCTAGATTCCAATAGTGGTAATCTAATCCGACGGTGGAGAATCGAAATACGCTGCCAACTGACCATAATCTGACGGTTAGGAAGCTTCGGAAAGCTGCCAGAGGCGGCAAAAATATCTTGAACAGTCGATGACGTGGCCCACATGTGCCACGTCAGAGAGTACTGCCCAAAAATGGCAAAATGGCCTTTTTTTGTTAGTTGGCATGGCGCGTTGGTTTGGTCATTTGGTGGTGCTTATTTAAAGTTGAATTTCTTATTTCCACCTTCATTTATTCATCAAAATTATAAAACCCACACATAACATACCTTTTTTTAAAATTTTATCGTCTAGAAAAAAAATTATAACCAAACTTCCAATTGTACTTAAATTGGATTCATTTTTTAAAAACATATTAATTGTTGGTTATAAATAATTATAAAAATATTTTAAGCGATGCTTTGGTTTGGTCATATGGTGGTGGTTATTTAAAGTTGAATTTTTTATTTTCCACTTTTATAACCCTCCATATCATACATTTTTTTTATTTTATCGTCTAGAAAAAATTATGACCCAACTCCTAATTGTATTTAAATTGGCTTCATTTTTTAAAACATTTTATTTATTCGTTATAAACAGTTATAAAAATATTTTAAAGGGCTTAGATATTTTTGGGGCCAGGGGACATGGGTGGATAAAATTCCGACACGTGGATATTCCATTTTGTCTCGGCAAATATCTCGCTTTGTCCCCTACGCGCCGCGTGTATGCAAGCGTATTCATACTCGCCCTTTCGGTCCACTGGTCTTCGAATATTTATATGCGCTAACACGCCCGCCCATGCGTTGCCTTGTCTTCCACTTTCATTTTTTTTTCTAATCATTAAAATATTTTAGGGCAATATTTTAATATAGTTATTTGCATTTTTTGTTACAAAATAATTAGAATTATTATGGTAATAAAAAATACCGCTACTAACCATACACATTTTATGTTGGTATTTTAATCACTAAAAAATTTACAGTTGAGAAGGATCACTATTATCGTTTTTTTTTTGTGTTTGGTTTATATATATATATATTTGTAAAATTTAGTGTAAGATGGATTCGAATTCGAATGAGGACATTTTTGTATTTTCCCACTTTAACATTTTATCATACAAAATTTGATATATTTTTTTTACCACCAAAACAAATATTTTACTAAGTAATAATAATTTAGTTAAACATACCACTACTTATCATTTTATTTTTATATTATATTTTACTAATTATAATTTTTTTTTTAAAATTACATATGAATGAATTTGTCAGAAATAAAAATAAGAATGTTAAGTTTTTGTAATTCCTTCACATAATAAGACTAGAATATGATAACATATGTTTCGTAATGATTTTAATTTTTATTCAATTGGTATATGATTTATTTGAATCATAAGGTAAATATAACTAAATTATTGCATCTTTTATTTATCCAATATTTAATTAACTGTCTATATATAATATAGAGCAAAATCTTAACGTTCGTTTATAATAACATTTTTAACTAATGTTTTTGTATTTATAATTAATATACAAAAAAGATTTAGCGTAATTTAAATTATTTCAAAATTTTAAATATATCCTATTTTTTCGTGTAAAAAATCTGGAAAATTCTAATTTTTGTGTTGACAACATAAATACCACGAATAAATTTAAAAAGATATTAGTCAAAAACCTGCAGGATTGCCCAGGGCAGTGAATGCACGTGCTTAGATGATCGAGTGGGTCAATTTTTTTTTTTTTTTTTTGAAGGAACCAAAATCTAAGATATTCTGCTTACTTGGCCATCCATTTTCCTCTTTTATAAAAAAAGAGATATTTTCTTGTCTCGCGATATTATTTATTTTACCCTTTTTTATTTATTGTATTTAGAAAACATTAATAGAAAGTACATCCAACTGCACATGACTCGCTCAATTTTTCTTTCACAAGTTTTTCCCTTCACACCAAAATATCTTAGACATATAAATATATATATGTATTCATAATAATATCAAAATTAATTATTGGAATTTATTTTTATTTGTATTCTCTTATTTTAATATTTTATTAATTTAATTTAAAGTATATATATCTAATAAATTTTTACATCAAAATTTTAAATGTTATATTACATTCTCATATGTATTATATTTATGCCATTTTTTTTAACTTTTTACTAACTTGTACTTGTAGTATTTGATCACGATATTGATATATATATATATATATATATATATGAAACGTATATTCCATTCCAACGAATGACCATACATAAATACTGAATGAATTAAATAATGTCATATCCTATGAAAAAAAATATTCGATTGTAACTTTTGTGGACATGGGTTTGCAATTTTGGAACGCAAATATTGTTCCAAACAATAGAATGTATGTACATGACAATTTTGATTACATAGTAGACCTAAGATCTCAACTCCATGCAATACCGAAAAAAAGAAAGAGAACATGATGATGATGATGATGATGATGATGATGATGATGATGATGATGATGATGATGATGATGAGATATTTTATTGTTAGAGACAATATATATATAAAAGGAACCGACATTACGTTAGGACACATTCCAATGATATCCCTAACATGGTACGTTAGGAAAACGTACCTCTTTCTTCTGACGTTCGTAGAGAATTACGTTAGGAATTCGGCGCTGCTTTTTTTTTTCTCCTTCGCCAAAACGTGAGAAATGCCAATTTTCTATAAAAGGAAAAAAAAATTAGGATTTGAATTTTTTCACTGTTATAAATGCTCAAATATTTTATCAATTAAGAGTTAAATTTTTATTTCCCATATGAAAAACTGAATAATATCTACTGGTATCTAAACCAAATTCAATCTAACAAAGGATTATATATGATTATTTTTATCTAAATTATGGGATATAAAAATAAACAAAAAATCCAAACGAAAACAATAATCAAATTAAATTCCAATTAAATCTAAGATCAAACCAAAATTCGGATCATATATAATAATTTGTTTAAAAATGAAAAATATGAATCTAAAAATAACCAAAATAACCAGTCTTTAATGTTAATATTCCAAAAAAAAATTACTACGTTAGATATTGGATCAATATTTCTTGATAATATATAGAGATATAATTATGTATTATCGATAAGTTTGTTATGTTGATTAGAAAAAATAAAGGATATGAATGGTAATGTAATTATGCATTATAGAGATGTAATTGTGTTTTTTGTTTTAATTTTTGGTTTTTGATTTTTGTAGTTTTTACCGTTTTTATAAAACTTGATTGGTACAAACAATATTTTAGATTCTTATTTTTAGATTTTAAATATATATACATACGGCTAGAAGGTGAAATTATAATATAACAGTAATATATAATTTAAACAATAAAATTTAAAAAATATACCTCAATTTTTTTTAGGTTAACATTTTTTTTTGAGTAATGGGTATTTTTGTCTATAATATTTTATATAATAAAATTTTAATAGAAAATGAAGTTGTCTACTAAAAAAATCAGACTTTTATTTGAAAATCTAAAAAAATGGATTTATACCTTTTAAATGATTTTTTCAATGAAATGATTTACCAGGGTTTTAAAAAAAGCAAATATATATAAAATTTTGAGTCGATTTTGTTGTTGTTTTTATATTCCAAAATCAGGAAAAACTCTAGTCATTCAATGCCATAATTAGATGATTTGGTTGGTTGAGAACTCTAGATGTTACTATATCATAAAATTGATGAAATGTAAACTAACATATGGTAACCTTATAAATAACTATATTTGTTCAAGAGTCAAGTTCCATGTAAAATATTTTGGAAATATAATTTTTCTCAAACGATCTGTACATATAATGACAAGTTTTCAAGGAATGTCGATGGTTATTGCTTATTAAGATACGCATAATTTTAAGTCCAATTTAAACTATTTGTATCAAAATAAGGGTGATTATTTCGATTTAGGTATGTAAAATTCAAAGCGAATAATATATAACCGTATCTTGAATCAAATTTTATATAAAAATCAATTGTATATGATTTTTTATTTAAAAAAAGTAAATCAAAACTATATCGAATATTAGACCAAAAGTGAATCGAACGTTGACAAAAAAAATCTTTTACAAAATTACATTTTTGTTACCAATCTAACCTTCAAATTTGAGGTTGGAGAATACTTTCGTGGGTACCCGAGCCGAAGGGAGAGAGGAGGCGAGAACCAAGGCGATGACAGATAATGTGAGGGGCCGACGAGAGCAATCGGCTCTACTCGCTCCTCGAAGCTTGGACACACCTTTCCTCGCCCTTCTGCCTATTTTCTCGCCCCTTAGTCTCTTTCTCCGTCGACGCTCGAGAACCGGCCGTATCCCGTGGCATCCGAAAATTGGATACCGATATCGTATAATAACACAGCAAAAATCCTACAGGATGCGACCATGGACAAATACATCGAAAAACTCCTACATGGGTGTAGATTCATGTTTAGGACACCAAACAGATTAAGAACAAGTGTCCCTCTAGTCTAAAAAAAAGTTGTAATTATACTACTGTTATTATCTTCATTATCATTTCATAGTGTCACAATTATGGGGATGGATGCATGAACCTTTTACCACAAAACTTGAGTAAGAAGAAAATCACTTCTAAGAAGACATCATCATCAAGTGAAGTCCTGGGGACATGTTTTCACAAAAAAAAATGAAGGAAAAAAAAAAGACTACTATCGAAACTTGCAAACTTCAATGAAAAGAAAAGAGTCGACAAAAGAAAAATAAAGAGAGGGTGTGCTGTCCATCTAGTCGAACAAGCTGAATCCCATGTCATCGTCACTTTCCTCCTTGGGCTCCTCCTGTTTTTGCAAAGAAAAATTTCCCCCCAGTGATATGTTTATGGCCATCATCATTCATGAAACTCAGCAATATCCCTAGATCTTAGGCTTTGAGTTTTAACTATATCAAAAGTGTCTGGCCCATCTCACTATGATATCGGGATATGTATATATCTCAGGGATGAGTTTAAGTATACCACAAGGGCTAATAATAAGTTTCTAAACAGAAGATAGAGCCGAGAGATATGTACGAGAAAAGCACAAACCTTTTTCTTCTCCTCGGCCGCAGGGGCTGCTTCGGCAGCAGCACCAGATGCAGGAGCTGCAGCTGCCACAGGGGCGGCACCCCCACCTGAACCGACGTTCATGATGAGGTCGTCGATGTTTTTCTTCTCACAGAGCTTGGCGAAAAGGCTGGGCCAGTAGGATTCAACAGTCAAGTTGGCTGCTTTCACCAGGGCAGAGATCTTCTCGGCCTGATTGATATCAACAAACATTAACAAAGCCAATCAGTAAACAAACAAAGGATTGTCGAAACTTCACATTAATCAACTGGTTTAGAACAGATATTAGTCCAGCCACAGGTTTGCTACAAACTATGGGTATGGGATGGACATTTCAATTCAGTTGCATACAAACCAAGCACAAACCAAATCCAAACCGAACATAGAAAGAAGAAAAGGCCCAAAAATTTATTAGAAAAATAAGCATTTTCATCAAAAAGAGAACGACCCAGAACCGAATCTAATATAAAAAACTGAATGGTTAATCTTTCTAATAATGAAAAAAAGGAACCAGAACCGAGAAGAGAAACCTCAAAAGCTATATCCCACAAAAGCTAACTCTCAACAATCGAGAATCAAGAATAGAACCCAATTAAACTCAAAACACAGAAACGCTCAAGTCCAGTACTGAAGAAACAGAACAACTAGAAAATCCGCATTCAGAAACCAAACCAGATATGATCAACAGAAGACAACCAATTGAAAAAAAAAATACAGATTTCGACGGCTAAAACGTGATTAACAGTTTCCGATAACGAGCAAACTAAAGATTATCGCTAAAAAGTTTGAATTGACAACAGTTACTGTAGAAGCTTCAACTTGCTAATGGCAAACATGGAAATGAAGCTAACCCAAAAACTGTTCTCAGGTAGGAATCACATAAAAGAAAAAACAAACTCAAAACATCGACGCGACTATCTTCAACGAAAGTGAGAAAAGGAGCGGAAAAAGCTTACAGTGACGTGGATACCCTCGTCATGGAGAATGAGGGCAGCATAAGTGCAGGCAAGCTCACCGGTGGCCATTGCAGCTAGCTTGTCTGCAGGATTATCACCTTCCAAATGGATCTACAAAGATACGAGCACAAGTTTATCAAACAATACGAATCGAGTCGAACTGATTCAAATGATCCAACAGAGAACCTCGAGGGAGGAAGCTGTCGCTGCGTTGCGGAAAACAGAGAGCTAGGGTTTTGGGAGGAGAGGAGGTATTTATTCAGGAGGGGAGCTAGGGTTTTCAGGAGAAGGCTGCGAAAAAGGCCACGTGAGAATCACGTGAGACTAAACTTCTGGGCTTGGGCCTTCAATCGAGCTCCAGACCCACAAAATGCAATTGGAATTTATTTAATTTTGTCCGAGTCCCTTAATTTTTGATGATCAAAATGAAATTTGATACATTTCTAAATTAAATTTAAAAATAACTTCGACCCCTAAACCTGAAATGCCAACGCCAAATGGATCACCTTAAAAAAGGGTCGATTCCGACAAAAGTCTTTTACTTTCTGAAAATGGAAGTTCCAATGTTCCTCTACCAAATGCTTTAATTCTCAATTTTGGCGACAGTTTTTTAGAGGTGAATTGAATTCTATGGATTCAAATTCATTGACTATACAAGACATTATAGGACTAAATTCTCTGTGTATTTCAATCAATGTAGTGTACAACGTATAAATACACGACGTAATGCGTAAGAACACATGTTACACCCTAATAACGATAATTACAATAGTGACGTTAACTCTCTTCTTCTCTATGCCATGTTGTCCAAGCGAATCGAACGGATAACGTTGACAATTTGTTTGGAGAATGTCCCAGAGAGAAACACGCTTTCTCTTCAAAAAATGTCAATTCTTTTTTTTTCTTTCAACATTCAATCTCTAATGTTTTTTTCATGTGATTATAACTTGTCAAAGTTTCTTAAAAGAAATTGGTTGTTAGTTGTTAATGATGTTGTAGTGATGAGCTGTTGTTTATCACCATTTTATAAAAATAAAATAAAATAATGAGCAGTTGTTTATCATCATTTTTTCTTCTAAGCAGATATTTTGGCTATATAAGAGTTTAGGGATTCAGTCTTTTTCTTCAAGTTAATTTTTCAGAGAGATCAATATCAAGAATAAAGATTCGGAAAGATTTTGTTTCCAAGTAATAGAAGCCATGGATGCTGAAGGAGATAAGCAATAGAGCTCACTGATTGTACCATCTGTTCAAGAACTGGTTAAGAACAAGAATATTATCACTGTCCCTCCGAGATATGTACGGTCTGATCAAGATAAAGTTGAGATCATCGATGATTCAGGAATCGGACTCGAAATTCCGGTTATCGATATGAAAGTTATTATGTTCTGCAACCGCCATGGATTCTGAGCTCGAGAAGCTTGATTTCGCTTGCAAAGAATGAGGTTTTTTCCAAGTAGTCTTAATAATATTATTTAAATGCAAGAAAAAAACACGCATATATATATATATATATATATATGTATACTTTTTGAAATCTTTGTTGGGTTCCCTTCGGGTTCCTAGCATGCGATCTCATCGATCTAGGGTTTGGATTCTAGGTTTCACGCAGCGGAAGGAAAGATCTAAACCTAGCCAAACGTCACACAAAACCAATTGTGCAATAACCCGAACAATCGTGTATATCGTCGTGGGATTCGAATACTTACCTCGTTCTTTCAAGATCTGGAAGTATCAATCGATCCAGGGCCTGTTTTAATCACCGAGAGTTGAAAGCACAACTCCTCTACACGTATCCACACCGGCGGGATGAATTCCAACGCTTTGGAACGTATCTGCTAGGATTTGTGAAGAGAAAAACCGATGTCCTTGACTTGGAATCGATATTCCAATCTCTATAACTCAAAATCAAGCTTCTCTAAGCTCTCATGAGTGTCTTGGACGTCTGAGGTTCGTTCTCTAGGGTTTGTAGCGGCTCACTCATTAATTAGGATTGCCCAAAACCCTTAAAACGCGAAAACCGAAAACTGCCCGTAAGTCGGACCGTCCGTTCCAGGCCTGGAACGGACGTTCTGATTC